AATGTAGAAATAGAATAGCTTTGCAATATTCCTTAGCGTCATCCATTATTAATTTTGCTTCACTGTTTTCCTTACGTTCCAGGTCTCATGGCTTGAAGACGTTTAAGGTGTAAGTCTGTTTTAGGGTTAATGGTATAGGGGTTCAAGGTTTTTCGAAAAGGTGCAAGTCGGCCAGAATCAGAACTATTGTGGAATATTTTCTTGTAGAACTCGAATGTAGAAATAGAATAGCTTTGCAATATTCCTTAACGTCATCCATTATTAATTTTGCTTCACTGTTTTCCTTACGTTCCAGGTCTCATGTCTTGAAGACACTTAAGGTGTAAGTCTGTTTTAGGGTTAATGGTATAGGGGTTCAAGATTTTTCGAAAAGGTGCAAGAACTATTCTGGAATATTACCTTGTAGAACTCCAATGTAGAATAGCTTTGCGATATTCCTTAGTGACATCCATTATTAATTTTGTTTCACTGTTTTCCTTTCGTTGCAGGTCTCATGTCTTGAAGACGCTTAAGGTGTAAGTCTGTTTTAGGGTTAGTGGTATGGGGGTTCAAGGTTTTTCGAAAAGGTGCAAGTCGGCCTGTTAGAAACGAGTACTACATTCCGTTGTACGTGATATTCTGACTATAATAGAATCAAATGTGAATGTTGACATAAGCCGTTGATGTAATCGATTACTTTCAGTTCGCATACAGCAGCGCTTCCTTCTGACACAGTTAATGGTATATGCGTAGGTATATGCATTAATAAAGAAATATTGCAGACAGACATGAGTATCGTAGAAACCGTTCCAAGATATGAATCTTGATCATAGCGGATTTATTTATGGAATTGTATACAGTTGTTGAGCCAAGTCTATACACGGGTACCTTAATCGATTAACTTAATATCTTCGGTAAACTTGAAGAATAATGCAATAATCTGATAACAGTTTTCTATTCTCCTTATTAGGATCGCTAGGATTGATAAATTCTTTTATAGATCCTGTGTAGGGGAGTAAGAGGCTAGCGCGCGATCTACCCATGCTTTGTTAGCTTCGCGCATTTATTCGCCCATTGTTTATTTGTTCAGATATTCTATTAGTTATAGGTCTAAGTGATTGCAAATATGTATTTTTTATGACTAGAGTGTATCTAAAATGTTTTTGGGAAAATAAATTGTTTTAGAAGTAAATAGTTTCGTCATGTTTAGTTTATAAAGGCATATTTTGAAGTGGGCCAACTGAAGTGGGAAGGGGCTCGTACATAGTTTCGATCATATGCGCACACAGGAATTTTTCTCAGGGAAACGGGTAGTGCCATCCATCGACAAGAGATAACTTTTGTGTGAAAGCGTAACGGCTCGCAAAACGTTTTCAAGACCGGGTGAGAACATATTTTCTCACGATGCCAAATTCCCAAAATGTACAAAAAGCATCATAAATATTCAAATCTTAAATGAATGAGTTTGTTTGACTATCTTGATCCGTAATTTTTTGTTATACATGTTTCTAGCCAACTTGTTCTCTCAGAGCGAACATGATCCTAAACCTAATTGATCCAATTTTTTTGATCCGATTTTTACATTACAATACTTCCTCGTGGAGTGGGAAACAATAAAATCGTAAGCTAACAATTGAGTATGATTGTAATAAGCTTCCAAGGTCCGTAATTATTCCTAGGAGTGCCTGGGAGTGGTAGCAACATTCCAACAGAAGCTGAACTTCATCATTCATGACATAAATGGTACCAATAAGCTGTTTCACATGGTGTTAAGCACTGATTGAGTATTGAGAGTAGGTAATAAGCGTGCGTAAAATTATCTATTAGTTTAGTCAGGCAGCAAGTAATTTCAACTTCCTTCATATGTATAGACATAATTTGTTCATAATCTAATGTAGCTGCTTCATTTCTAAATTAGTGTGCTAAGTGCACACGCTACAACTTGGTGGCTAAGCGTTTCTGTTTATACAGGGTGATCCTTAATGATATGCGAATATTTAAGGTTTTATAAACTATGGTCCAAAAATGTTTCCTTACAAAAGCTCGGGGTGATGAAGTTTTAGGAAAAAAATGGAAATTAATTAATATTTTCAGAACCGCTACTGATATTTAGTAAGCAATGAAAGTTAGTAAGGTTGCATATTATTCAATAAAAAAATAATTTTTAGCTTTAACAGTGGCGTGCGTACGGGTATTGACTTCGATATTTTTTAAGAAAAAAATGGTACGCCAATGGTTTTTTGCCAAATAAAAATCATTTCTTAATTCGCCGTTCAATTTAAAACAAATGACCTCTCCGGATTTGCTTTCCTTCGATGCGGCATTTTTGAGTAAAAAAATGAAAACCGTTCTATTGTCTAACTTGCAAAATTATTATTAATTTATTTGGAAAAATTAAACGCATTAGGTAATGAACAACAACAACTGACAACATAAACGTAACATCAAAACCAACGAAATGATTACAAAAATTGTTGGAAATGGCTCCTTTCACTTAGTATGCTTGCTTCCGGCCTCATTCTCAAGGAATTGCGCACTCGTTGAAATATCCCTGGAGTGTTTTTTATTCTATCACAAGCTGCAACTATTCTTTCTCTTAATTCCTCTACAGTGTTAATGGGACTTGTGTACACTAGTGTCTTAAGATAGCTACACAAAAAGAAATCTAAACTGTTGAGGTCTGGGGACCTTGTTGGCCATTCTTGGGGCCCACCGCGGCCAATCCAATGATTTGGATAAACAGTTTGTAAATAATTACAAACCGCTACACTGAAATGCGCTGGTGCACTATCATGGATGTACCACATATTGTTTCTTATTACTAACGGAACATCATCAAGCAGCAAAGGCAATTGTTGTTGAAGAAAATTGAG